TAGAGTCATTCGCGATTTCGCGGTTTTCGCGTCATATTACAGCAACGGGTCCACCGGTAAGTTTAAACGTGGTCCCGCGTCGTGGGACTACGGTCATCTCGTCGTGGGAGCGCACTCTTCCGCATCGTGGGACAGTAAAGGTAGGTTCCTGATTGCTACGTGGGACTGGAGTTGAAGATACAGCGATGGACGACGATGGACTACGCGCAACGGTACGTTATTATAAATAATTTATTCTTCTCACATAAAAAGCACCTCATTGTTAGAAAGGTTGCTTTTTTATATATATTATCTTTAAATTTGTATTATAATTTACATACAAGCAAATTACAGTTTTTAGAGGTATATGCCTAATAAATTTTAAATATAGCAAGTTAATTAAATTATTCTGAAACGGTTTCTTTTATAATAGTCTGGAAAAAAAATCCTTCATATATGGACATATCCTATATCTGATGAAGTTTAATTAGGTACAATGATATATGAGATCTTCTCAATCTCATATAAAATTATGTATACCTAGATATAGAATTTGTGCATATATAAAGGAAAAATAATAATTTACAATTAAATAATCGATTATGTTTCATATCTCTACCATGAAAATTTTTGAGAAGAATAAATTATTCTGCATGAGTAGTAATCGCACTGATTTTTCAATATATTGTCACTCCGTATAATCCTGTAATTCCAAAACACAAATTTTAGAGAAGAGCAGTTTAAAAGTTTAAAGTTTCCCTAGTTAAGGAATCTTTCGGTTTCAAACTTTTACTTTACTTATAAATATTTTTTTAAATATTTGGTAACCATAAAGAACATGACTTTCTTAACTTGTTACTATGCAATAAACTGAAAATCCGCTATGTGACACTTATGTAATTATACGTAGGAAGTGACGATATATTCTTTTTTGATAAAATGTCTATATATTTGTATATAATATTTTTTATATATGTGCTATTTTATTTTTTTTTTATTTTTTCAATATATATTTATCTATATTTTCTACTTTCATATTTCTATATCACTTTCTCTTAAAGAACCGATATAGAATTATTTTTTGAAACTTGTGTTCTTTTCTATATCACTTTTCTATATCACTTTCTCTTAAAGAACCGATATAGAATTGTTTTTTGGAGGCTTATGCTCCTTATATTTATTCTCTACATTTATTTTCTTCTAGTTTATTTTTGCAAAAATATATGTTTAAATATATATTTGAAATATATGTATTTAAATATATATTTTTTCTTTTCTTTTATTCTATCTCATTTATTTACATATGGTACGCTTTTATCGGGTGGGTATATACTCTCTTTAAATCATAAAATATAAAAACTCGGTCGCGAAAGTAAAATAAATTTAAAATAATACTTTTTAATTTTAAAACAACTGTCCCTCGCGTAAAATATTTGATAGATTTTAAAACTTTTCAAAGTAGGTAGGTAAATAGGTATCTGTGCAGGTAGGGATGCGTATCTACAAGCGCTTGTAGAAAATATATTAGGCCGGGTAGGTAAGAAATATGGTAGACCGAATAAGTAGGAAGAAATCAAAATGTCAAATTAGGATCAAGGCTGTTATGCAGCCTTCATCCTAATTAATAACGCTAGTAACGTTTAAGATATGTCTAAGATAGGTAGGTAGGTAGGTAGGATTATATATAACTATTTATATTATATTATATAATATTGTATTATATTGTATTATATTGTATTTTTTATGTAATAAATGTGTAATAGAATTGTATTCTATTGTAATGTATAAAAAAAAATTCTAAAATGAAACTTGGAAATAGAAAACACACTAAAGATAAAGAGTTTTAAATAAAAAAGCAAAAGCTATATTTCTTGGAATTGCAACTTTTCAGACATTATATTTGTGTACCGTTAAAACACCTTTGTATAATATACATGGTTTTTTGTGTATTTTGTATCTATATATATATATATATATGTAGTATTTTTAAGAAAATAAAATAAAATTTATAAATCACAGAGCAGCAAATGATGATGTAAAAGGAGATGATATTTGACTACACTCCACGAATTCTGATGTTGCTCGCTAAAATAAGATTCTTTTCTTGACTATCACATCTTTTCTNGTATATCACATTTATGTTGTACGAAAAGTTGCAATGGTTTTTCTTATCCTTTTCTGTTTTCCTTTCTCATCTTCTCATCACGAGATCGGTCATTTTAATTTTCAAAAAAAATCAAATTCACGCTCTCGAATATACTCACACACTTAAAGAAAGTGACCATTTAAACTCGTGTACATAGCACAGAATAGAACCGCACGCTGTGGACATAGCGTACCGACATGTCACTCGTGGACATGGCTGCGTAGTTCTAATGTGCACCACCCGTGAACATGCGCTAGTTTACGGGGCGGAAAAGTGATTACACATTTTCTTATGGACCTGGTCGCTCTCAAGCTTTTTTCTGATGCTCACTTTTTTTCTATACGGTTTTGAGGCTTGTTCTGCAATACAGTCGGTAGCTGTAAATCGTAAGAAATTGACCAATCACAATCGATTATTCTTCTGTGATTTGTCTGTGATTGGTCAATTTCTTACGACTTAAGCCCGTCCTACATTGATCGCAAGCGCAAACGTAAGGAACAGGTCTGGTAAAATTGACTAATCGTATTGATCAAATCAACCAATTGACCAGCGTGATTGGTCAATTCTACGAGAACTATACCTTGCGTTTGCGCTTGCGATCAATGTAGAACGGGCTTTAAATTCAAACTTTGACGGATCACAGAGTTGCGTTTGAATCGCTTCGTATATTTTGCGATTGCTATTATCAAAAAAAAAAAAGAATTTTCGCAAATATTTTACGTTAGTATTTTTTACTAAATAATAGCGTGTGTTTATAACTGGTCTACAGAAAGTAATCGCAGATCGCAGATCTCGCGAAATTGAGCACTGGTGGAATTGGTAGAATTAATTTATTCAGAACTACATATAGTGATAACGAACTATTGTTTGTGGATATATTATCTTAATTATTTTTTTAATGAGCCTCCAATTTTTAAAATTTCCATACAAGTCGATAAATCAGTACAGTGTACATCAGTTATTTTCGTAACATAACGATAGGAATGATTACCACAAGATGTCGCTAGACATCTGTAAAGTCAGCCGCGCAGAAAGGTGACAGGTCGCTGCTTGAATGCAAGTTTGAACAATGCGGTATCTTTCGCGTCGTATATCTTGCTTTATTAACCACAATAACAGTAATTAATGTTCGACGCATCAAATAAGAAGATATCAAGGTAATGTTCTCTCTAGCGCCGATTGCAAATATAATTTTTATTCAAAAAGATGTGATTAAATGTAAATAATTTTTAACAGAAAAACTGCGCGATTTTGAAAAGAGAAAATTTTTCGGGGCGTGGTTAGAAGATCATCTTTGGTGAGTCAACAAATTATCTCCTAATATTTCTTTAAATTGCATATGAGACAAGAGTGTTTTCTATCTATCGCTGTAGAAATAACTTTATACGATCATCACCACGAGAGTTACGTCCCTTATCGTTGCTTATTGCTTTATAGACGCATGAATATATAATATATATACATATATATACACATACGAATAAACCCTTATATACTTCTTTCATGAGTTTTCGGCAGTAGGGGATGCATGAATACGAACGTGTACGTAGAGATGTTCAATATATACGGTGTCCGTGATCAAATATATTTTTTGCAGCATGCGTAAGCAAAATTTATAAACTTTTCAAAACTTTTGACGTAAAATTCCGAGATACAGATTCAATAAAAACTAACATTCTTTTTCAAGAATTTTAAGATTTAAATACTTATTGTTATAAAGTATTTATAATATGTTGTATAATTATTTGCGGAGAATGTAAAATAAAATGCGGAAACGTGTAATAATTTGAAATTTAAAGTGCGATGTTTATGAAGCGCGGAGAGACTCGCGCATCTATTTACAAAGGAAAACGCGATAGCGGAGACACCCTGTATGATCGCACCGCCACAAAGAATCCATAAAGGGTTAGCTGGCGCGTTTTTCGCGACACCAAAGTGGAGACATTTTAAACTGCGACACACTTGTGTTTCTGCGAGCATAATAACGCGCCGCTATTAACCGCGAGCTTGTATTAAGCACTCAAAAAAAAGCTTTCATGCACTTAACGACAAATAATGCGACGAGTGCTACCGAAATCCGTCGTTTCGCGACGACTTTTTCGAAAAATCTATGCTGGCGCGCTCTCTGCACATGCATTTATTGCGTGTTACTTACAATGAAAACCATTTCTGTCAAATGTACATCTTATCGAGCATTTGTTTTCAAACAAATGTTTATTCAAATGTATATATACATAAGAATGAAACATGGTCTTCAAAATGTGTTCAAAGTACAACTTCAAAGTGAGTTTTCATAGTTCAAGTATCACAATTTATTTTCCAGTTTTTTGAATTTTATCGCAAGTCTTCAGCGTTATTTATCGAGGGGAAGAACATGGTATATATGACGCTCACGCACGCAGATCGAGCGTAGCGCGAGGAACGAAGAATTAAATAAATTTTGCTGCTGCAGACGGGGAGAGTGGTGCTCACCCTCGAGCATCTCCGCGATCTCCGAGATCGGCGCGCTAGGTATGATGCCGCGCGGCAAATGTCGCGTGAAATGCGATTTCAGGCCGCGACGGTGGGTTCTTATTCGATGATTCTCGTTACCCTCGTTACAAGCCGGAAGGGTGGTGGAGAGGAAGGAGTGGCGGGAGCAAATTGCGCGCGAGACCGTGAGAATAAATTGTCTCCAGTAGAAGCGACAATTCTCCTTCCGCGATGAGGTGGCTGGTAAAATGCGGCGGTGAATGAAACGAACGACCTGTTTCGCGTCCACCTTCGTTTCTTTTTTTCTCTTCTTTTTGTCACCGATGTTGTCTCGATACGTTTTCTTCGCTATATTTAGTTATCGATACCGTCGCACGTGTTATCATACGTGTGAGGATTCCGTAAACCTGTCTTTGTTCATTCGTTACTATATCGATCATCGATCCCATTTTAATTCAATCGAGCACGTAAGAAATGTACCGTAAAGAATATACGAATCTCAGAGAGAGAAGACATAAAATTAAAACTAAAATATACTTTTTTAGAAACTTTTTTGTAGAAGTAAGAAAAAAAGCTGACATTAATTATTATTCTTCCGAAAAAGAACTAGCCAGTTTTCGTTCGGTGACTATAGTTGTCGAGCGTTTGACAGATGCTAACTATTAGTCGTTACTTGCTGTAACCCTGAAAGGGTTAAAAGGCGGCCTTGTGAATAGTCGGCGTGATTATTCGACGACGACGGGCGCAAAGTTCTCGAGTAGACCAGTCTGCTGGCAACTTCTCGCTTGCACTCTAAGAACTTCAAGGGATCGCTCAGCACTCTCTCTTCCTTGTTCTTAAAAGACTTCCTCCCCGGCTAATGGTCTGCCACTTGCGCTTCCGCAACTGGGATGTATATTGTAGTTTCTTCTTTATGGCGCGGAGGAATTTGCGTGCAAACCAGAATGCAACCGGGTAAAGTATAAAGATTTAAGAGATTGTATACCTTCTGATAGTTTTGATGCACGAGAAAATATAATGCAAATGGAAAAGCTTTGATTGCTATTATATTACAAATATGATTTGCGTTATATCGCGCGCGCGTTGCACGTAGTCACAAAAGATAATCTACTTGGTTATAACATCAAATATAAAACAAAAAGAAAATCAAAATTAAAATTTTTAATTTTTATAAGAGTCAAGGAACGTAAATTTCATATATACATATGTATAATATTTAAAGTTCTTACATATATATTGCTGTAATCTTTGATAAAACTATAGTCGAAGATTATGGACTCGCTTATAGCCTCGAGTATATTCGCGTCTGTTTTTTTTCTGCGCACAAATTCCGACATTCTACTTTTTATCGAGTCAAAGCAGACTTTGCGGACAATGGAAAAAAAAACCGATGCAGGCATATGATGATGACACGCTACGTGTAGCGCGACGGACGAGCGAGGAATGTTGCTTGCAAAATTGGTACATGTGCCTCGCTCCCTTCGAAGAGGGAAGAGTGGGATCGGGGAAACAGTAGACGGTGGCGTAAGCGCGAAGATGAAGAAGCAATTATTCTAATGGAGGCTTTGGGAGGATTGTAGCCGAGACAAGTGAGGTAATCCATGAATAATACCTGCACCCCATCTCGGGCGCATTCCTCTTCGCGAACTCCACCTTCCACAGTCACCCTCTCGTCGCGATGACGCCTGCCTGTTGTCCTACTCTCACCTGCTGATATTATGCTAAACTCCGGTAATCCTTAAATGCCACCTCAGTCTCGGGCGCTGCGGATAGAGTCTGAATGTCTTGCATACCCCAGCGTCACCGTGTTCTTCACACTCCCTTCGTTCTCCTTCACGCTTCGCGAGCTCACCTGTACGAAACTGTCCTTGTTCGGTTTTCAGATAGTAACTAAAGGACACATAAAGGTTTTCTTAAGGATTAAATAGATTCAAATACTTATTTTGATCATTCTTTTAATATATTATATATATAATTATATAGATAAT